TTAAAATAGGCTGCACCAAAATGCAGGAAATGGCATCTACTTTATTCAAAAATTTATGGGGGAGGAGGACCCACAGGCTCCCTCTACTTCCCCCACCCCACCATTTACGTTCCAGCATAGATCAGTTTACAAATTAAGCCCTGGCGATACGGTATGGGAAAGCATCAAAGCTGACTTCTTTATTCTGGAGGAGGAGTTTCCTTCACTGTAAGCTGTAATAGTTGTAACAGTAAATGTGCTCATGATGACAGGAAAATTGTCTCACTCTGTCATCACACCCTCATTTGAGCAGTTGTGCAACAGCTGCAGTCAGATTGTGCAACTTTCATTCTGACACTTTGACACATGCGAGGTTATTGAGGAGTCATGCTCATGACTAAATCTAACAAAGAAGAGCTCAAAAGGACTCACCGTGTCTTTGTTGTCCTGGAGGATTTCCAAGTCAGAGTCCAGCTTTCTGCAGGTGTAAGACTCCTCTGTCAGCTGCTGCTGCTGCTGCACAACCTGGCTGCTCAGACTGCTTTTGCTCATTTCAAGCTTCAAGATGTCCTGCTCACAACCTGCAACATCCTGAACACACATTTTACAGATTAATATGCAGCACGCTCCTTGAACTCTTCACAGTAGATTCACTTCTCCTACCAAGTGTGATCTCTGGATGGAGCGCTCAAGGCTCTCCACGGAGCGTTTCAGCTCAGCCACAGTAGTCTCTCTGTGCGAGCTTCGAGTCATGGCCGCCTTCTGCAGAAGGATGCTTTCCCTCTTCGCCACAGCTGCCTCACTTTCCCTCATCAGCTGCTCCTGTTGTTTGGTCAGCTGGATGACTCGTAACTGCACACACGTACAGCGAGTCGCAAGGAAACCATTGACACAAATCTAAACTACAGAATAAAAATCATATTAAGTGTATAAATACATTTAAATAAGAATCTTTAAATGATCAAAAAGCAACCAAAATCTATTTTTGCTTACAGAAACCTTGTTGGAAACACAAAGAGGCTCAAATTATGCAGTGCCAAATAACACTGGAGGGTCAAGTAAAGATAAAACTTAATTAGGTTGTATTTTGTTGCACTGTGGACAAGTCTGACTATTTTTGAAGTTTTCTATTTTTTAAAAAAAGGTATTCATTTGATCTGTTGGACTTGAGCTACCATGACTTTGATCACCCATGTCATGTGAGCAGACAAAATCAATTTGAATAATTTTCATTAAATTTGTTTACATTTTTGTTTTCCAGCAAAGTTAAGTCAGGTCCTCTGGACGGTTTCTTTTTTTTGTTGTTGTTGAAACGTTTCGTCCTTCATCCAAAGGACTTCGTCAGTCAAAGGAGCCAACTCTTCTGAAGCAGCCATAGCCACCTCAATCACTTTGTCCATGGCTGCCTCAGAGGAGTTGATGGGGGAGAGGGCAGACTCCAGATACCATCTTATCACTATCAAACTGGTTGGTCCACTATGTGAGTGTCCTGCTTGTGAGACTGAGTTTGTTGTGGCTCCTCGGACTGACGAAGTCCTTTGAATGAAAGACAAAGCGTTTCAACAACAAACAAAAAAAGAAATCGTCCAGAGGACCTGACTTAATTTTGATGGATTTTTTTTTTAACCTGGATTATTGAGCATGAACTTTGACATTCTTGTCTTTTTCAACATGGTCACTCCCTTGGTGTGAAAAATGGCCAATCCGAAATGAATGTTTGAGACATTAGGTGTGTGAAAGTGTCCTTTCCCACACTGTCAGGTGCATTTGTTTTTGAGCGGACACACACACACACACCTCCTCTTTTTAGCTGCCGTGTCAGGTCTCACAGAAATCAGTCCCTATCGTCACCTTTCCCCTGTTGGAACCACACCTGTTGGCGTTCTCACAAACAATCGCAACAATGCTTCAATTATAATCTAATTATTTCTTGCAGCTCTGATGTACAAAAGGTTTTTTGAGGACTTGCTCACAGTTCACAGCAGCACAGCAGCCAATGATATCCTGTTACTCTCAGATTTTGGATTAAGACTCTGAGGAGGTGAGAAGAAACCTGACATGAAAGATGCTTAACAAGAAACAAAATACCTGAGTTTTGAGTTTCAGATGCCACAATAAAAATGGCACAAAGGCAGAATTTTATCATCTGAGAAACAATGTGGCTGTTTCCTTCAGTCCAATGCAGATACTTTAGGCCATACTTTTATCCCCAGCAGGATCAGTTACTGTAAACTTTTACTTTCTGCGCCACCTAAGAAGAATATACTGTACCTCAGCCCCAGAAGCCACAGAACTCGGCTGCACAAATGTTGACAAAAACCAGAAAGAGCTCACATCAAGCCTCTTTAAACTTCTTCAATACTTCAAGTTTTGTGACAAACTGGTGTGAACAATAAATATCCACAAAGTTATAAAGGTGAAGAGAAATACGACAACTCATTATCACTGTTTATTGTCTCTCCTCATCATCACTCTCTTGCAGGACTATTCAACTGGCGGCCCAGGGGCCAAGTCAGGCCCACGGGTGAGCTCAGTTCTGCCCACCAGTGGGTTCATTTATAAATAAAACTAGATTTTAAACCATAAAACAAACAAACTTTATGACAATTGCTGGATGGCTGGCCCCTGAGCTCTTGGCTTTCAGTAAAAGTGGCCGCTTGAGAAATTTAGTTGAATAGCCCTGCATTTACCTCCATACGATGGATTTCAGCCTTCATCTTCTGGATTTCCTCCTGGCCCATCTGAGAATCCAAAGCTGAATAAGTCTCCTTTAAAATCTGCGTCTTTCTCTCCCACAGCATGATCTGTTGTCTGCAGGTCACATGCAAACATGCACACACACATATTATTTCATAAAGGGATGAGATGGTGTCATTTAGAGATCGAAATGAACATGTGACTGACTCAGCATGGCCCAGACTCTGGAGAAGCATCTCGTTTTCTTCCTGCATCTTCTCAACTTTCATTTGAATGCTCACAGATTCCCACTCGGCTTCCTGATGATACAATTTCCAAATCTATGAAAACAGTTGCACAGCTGGAAAAAATAGTTTAAAATGAAAACAACCAGGGCATGCCTTGATTTGTTGAATAAAGTGTGTCTCCATCAGTGCGTTCTCCTGTTCCAGAGCACGACTCAGATGTTGGTTCTTGCTCAGCAGGATGCTGAGCTTCTCCAGGTCTCGCTCCAGAATTTTGGAGTTCTTCTCCAGTTCTGCAATGTCTCTCTGCTCCTGCTCAATCTGACCTAAAAGGGATTATGTCGGAGTCAAAGTTAGGCATGCAGATGGTTGTACAGAGAAAAATTAAGTTTACAGCAAAATGTCTTTTTTCTACAATCTAACTGATCTGTTTTTATAAATTGTTGCATTTTAAAATGACTCCTTTGCCTCTTACTCATTATAAAGCCCGGTTCTTCCCCGGCTCTGGTTTTATTTGCTTTAAGCAGTGCCGCCTCGACGTGGGCAGTTTCGTCAAAGCAAGACAGCTCGAATCTCAGCTCAGCAACAACTGCACCTCATCGCTTGTCCAGGACACTGCTGCTATCTTTAGCGTTCCCATTTTTTCAAAAGAAAACTAGGAGCTCTCTTCATCACACAATCGGACAAAAGCATGCAGCTGAGTGCTGAATTTGTAAACCAAACGATGCTGGAATGCAAATAACAGAAGATGGGGGGTTCCTCCCCTAGAAAATTATGAATAAAGTGGATGCCATTTCCTGCATTCTGATGTATTTTAATGGGTTGCTAAACATCTACATGTACCTATATTTGTAAACACTTGATTCGATAACTATTTTAGAAAGCAAAAAGAAGTAGCCTGACCAACAGTTCTCCTTGTGTGAACGGAGCACGTTCCGCTTCTCTCAAGCATCCTAACCCCTCCCCCTTCACTGGACAGTACTGAGCCTGACTCTTCTCCGCTGAATTCACTGTACTCCTCGTTGTTGTCCTCCTCCACATGTGAAACCCCCAGGCGCCTCCTCGGGCTGTTCATGGTGGCTGGCTGTAGGACCGGGTATGACTGCCCGGTTAGCTCGGCTCTCACCCACACCCTTCGCACTTGCTCCAGTACTATCTCCAGTGCCACTGCCTTCATGTGCTTCAATTCTTGGTCGTTTAGTTGTACAATGAGAAGATTTAAAAAAAAAAGAAAATAAATCGGACTGTCTTTTCAACATTTTGATCGCTGTTATTTTGACAAATTGGTGCTGTTGTTTTGATATGTGACATATGTGACATGATTACCCATCAAACATTTCTCTCATATTTTTAATAAATAATCAAAATTTTATTAATGACCCACTTTAACTGATTTACAATTTAGATTTTGTGTTTTTAATTAAAATGCCCATGAAACTTTTAGGGGAGGAGATTTTTTTAAGGGTAGAAGTAGAGATGCTTACTTGACGGGGCAGCTCTTATGTGATATTAAGAAGCTCGTAAGTGGCTGTTATGTTTAAAATTAGCGTTTATGTAATTATTTTCAGATTACATATCCAATATATGTTTTATCCTTTCAAGGCAGTGAAATTTGTTCATAACTTTATTATTAATAAGGCTGAGAATGAACCCTGTCAAAATAAGCGTTCCCGGATCTTGTTCTGGCAGGATTTGGAAACTTAATTAAAACTTTAATTAAATTAAGCTCTGGCTGAAGGAAATGGTGGTAAGGAGCAGTCGATGGAAGTATGACTCGTCTGTGATGCCCCCCACCCCCAGGCCAGACTGCCCAGTGCCAACACTCAAAATTTGCAGCAGAACTTGGGTCAGGCCAGTCCAGGCCAGTGAATGTTAATGTTTAAAAGTACAACCCCGGGCCTTACAACATAAAAGCCATTTGTCTTAAGTCAAACAACAGTTTTTGTTAAAAACAGTCTTTGTTGCTTTTCCTTGTGCTTGTGTGTATGTGCATGTCTGTAAGTGCTTCATACTTTCCAAGTGGATTTTCTTCTGTTTCATTCCAGTGTACTGAGTCTGCAGCTTGAGCATCATCCTGCTGTTGGTCTCCAAGTCTTTGCTCAGTCCCACTAGCGTTCCCTGCTGCAGCATCCAGAGCTCCTGGCCATTCCTGATGTTTGCTTTCAGCTCATCAATCTGAGCCATTGTTCCCTGAACTTTGATGTGAAGAGGACTCAGGTCATCACGCTGGGTAAAACGTCACACAAATGCATCTCAAGTTTTTATATACGGTTCAAGTTTTTCCACACTGACTTCTCTATAATAATAATAATAAACTGTTACAGCAAATTGCTTCCAAAGAAAATCCTCACCCCCGTGTTCGCTGCAATGATTGAAATCTTCTTAGTGAGGTTGGCGATCGTCACTTGTTTCTGCTCGATGAGGCGAGCGGATGAAGAAAAGTTGGTCTGACTTACAGTCAGTAACTTGTTGTGTTTGTCAGCCTCATTGATGAGAGCCTCCTGAATGAGAGACAAGCTGCTCAAACGTTCGTTGATCTGTTGGTTCTCCTGGGCTATTGTTAACATGTCGTTGTCCATCTGCTGCAACTGACACATCTGCAGAGGGGAGAGGAAATTATCTTTACCTGCATATAATAATTAACAGTTGTTTTGAGAGATGCTGCTTTTAGCTTCAAATTATAGCATTAAAACAATCAGAAAATCATTGATTGTCAGTCAAGGCAATTTTTAAATGCATGAGTAACTAGGGTACAGGTACGGTTTAAATAAAGACATTACTGAGCTACAATATTGGGTACAAATCCATCCATCTTCTACCACTTATCCATAGTCGGGTCGCGGAGGCAACAGACGTAGGAGAGAAACACAGACATCCCTCTCCCCAGCGACACTTTCCAGCTCGTTCTGAGGGACCCTGAGGCATTCCCAGGCAGAAGATACACTATTACTCCAGCAACTTCTGGGTCTTTCCCACCTGTGGGATGTGCGTGGAAAACCTCCAAAAGAAGGTGTCCATGAGGCATTCTGATCAGATGCCTGAACCACCTCAACTGACTGGACACCCTGTACCTGTCAGCTGCTTCAGGAGTCCTCCAGAACAACCAAGATGGCTTCATTCTTCAGCTTGATGGCCTCCACCAACACCGGTGTCCACCAGCGGGTCCTTTGGTTGCCACCCCAACAGGCACCAGTGATCTTAAGGCCACAGCTCCTTGAAGCCTCATTAAGGCCCTGAATACTGCCCATTTGAATTCCATGTTCCCGACCTCCCCTGGGACATGAAAAAAACTCTACTGGAGATGTGAGTTGAAAGCTGCATGGACAGAGGGCTCCACCAGATGCTCCCAAATCATTCTCACTATGCGTTTGAGTTTACCAGGCCAGTCCAGCAGCCTCTTCTGCCATCGGATCCAACTCACCACCAGGTGGCGATCAGTTGATAGCTCTGCCTCTCTTCACCTGAAGGTCCAAGACATAGGGCCGCAAGTCCAACAACACAATTATAAAATTGATCATAGACCTTTGACCTAAAGTGTCCTGGTACCAAGTACACTATATTATGGACCTCCCTTTACTCAAACAGGGTGTTTGTTATGGACAGCCAATGACTAGCACATAAGTCTAATAAGCAAACGCCATTTGGGTTCAGATCAGAGAGGTCGGTCCTCCCAGTCAACTCTGTCATTGCCCACATGGGCACTGAAGTCACCCAGTAGAATGAGGGAATCCCCAGATGGCACCCCTTCCAAGACACCATCCAGAGACTCCAGAAAAGCTGGGAAATCTGAACTGATGTTTGGTGCATGAGCACAAACACCAATCAGAACCTTCCCTCCTGCAGCCCAAAGCCACAGAGAGGCAACCCTCTCGTTCACTGGGGAAAACTCCAACACAGAGGCATTCGGCTGGCGGCTTGTGTGCATCCACCCACCCGCCCAACCCCTGTCTCTCTGGGCTACGCCAGAGTAGGAGAAAGTCAAGCCAGGAGTTGGGTTCCAGAGCTCAAGCTGTCCGTAGATGTGAGCCCAACTATATCTACTTGTACTGCTCTACCTCACACACAAGCTCTGGTCAATGCCACCAGGAATCAGCATGGCCAGGGAATCCCCCTCGCCTGATGCCTGACATGCAAATGGGTACAAATATTTAGGAAAATATCTCTCAGCAAAAGATAAAATGGTCATTACATATACACAATATATAAATATACGTTGTGAAGGAGAAGATGTTAAAGTCAAACGGTAAAATCTGTATTTTTTTATCAGTTAGTGATGCATGATGTGTAATAAAATACATACTAAACACATAAAACCCAGTTAACATTTTGATATAAAACACCTAAATAAATACCTGCTGTATTTTTATTATATTTTATACACAACATCATAACGTTTTCTAAATCGCACTTTTAAAATAGTGTCCTCCTGCACTATCAACTACAGTCACCAAATACAAGCTTAAAATGCAGTATTGTCATTTTTTGACTTTCTGCCTTTAAAATCCGTTAAATCCCATCTTTTACCTTGTCTTTCTTCAGAGCAGCCATCTTGCTGATGAGTTGTTGTGAGTACTTGGCAGCTTTGTTGTGCATGAGCTGCTGTTGAATATAAGCCATGATTTTATCCTCCAGATCCAGACGCACAGAATTCTCTTCTTCAAACTGCTTCTTCTGATCGTTCAGTTCAGACTGGTAAATACTGCTTTCCTTTAAAAATAAACAGATGCCAAAAAAAAAAAAAAAAAAAAAAAAACTATTGTGAATGAGCGCTTTGAGCAGATGGTGCATAAAGACGAGGTGTGGGACACTGTAACCTCCTAACAAACACAGGAGTGCTGGATTTGTGCGTACCTTTGTGAGTGTGGCGACGGTCCGTTCCGTCTCCTGCAGAGAGCGCAGACAGGCACTGTACTTGGCCTGCAGCACCTCCTGCGCAGCCCGCTTCTGACTGATCAGCTTTTTAGAAGTCGCAGAGTCCATTTCACACCAGTTAAGACCAACAGTCAGAGTTTCATTTCTCTCCTGCTCTGCAGCTGTAGCTTTCTTATAACCTTCAATTTCTCTTTCCAGCAAAATCACCTGATGCTCTACAGAACTGAAGGAAAAAAAGGAGAGAGGAAAAAAGAGTTTGCGCCTTTTTAATTCAACATCATAATAAAAATATTCATTTTAATAAAAATATAAAATATTTTGTGAATATTTTCAGACAAAAACAACCAGATGAACTTTAAGTTGGTGGCTTTAAATTAGTGTTTTCATTTAAACACTAAGCATGAAATGTTGAAAGTCCACATTCTGGAGAAACATCAAGTAAAACTACTTTCTCCTCGCTCGCTCTTACTGTAATGCCTCCTGCATCTCACAAAAGGCCTCATTTTTTCTCCTAATGCTCGTGAGGCTGCCGTTCCACTGCTGCAGCAGCTGCTTACGTGCCAATAAAAGCGACTCCATCTCCATTTCTGCCTGCAAAACATCAGAGTCATGAAGGCACAGATGTAGAGACCCACGTCAACAAGTTCAAGAGGAAACAGAAACTCTGTTTTGACCTCAAGAGTAAATCAGTGAACAAAAATAACTAAATACTTTTTTTTTTCGTTTTGGCTGCTCCCTGCGATAGGGGTCACCACAGCGTTCTAAGTTGCACAAAGACTTGGCAATTATTTCTAATAATAATAATAATAATAATAATAATAATAATAATAATAATAATAATAATAATAAATGCATTTTATTTGTATAGCACTTTTCTAAATACTCAAAGACGCTTACGCCCGATGCCCTTCTTGATGCAACCACAGATCACCGAGCTACCACAGCTCTCTGTGTGGAGCAGAGAGCTGCTATCTAGGGCGCCTGGAGGAGCAGATGGTGGGGGTTAAGGGCCTTGCTCAAGGGCCCAGAGTGGGGGCAAATGAGGGTCAGGGCAGGTGTGGGTGCTTCACCTATCCCACCCACATTTTTGATGTTGTTGGTACTGGGAGTTGAACCGGCAATCTTCCGATCACAGGCCCACCTTCTCTAACCTCTGTGCCACCACTCCTCACACAACTAAATACTTGGTTAATAATTTTATTTAACCACTGTTTGGCCTAAATTTAGCGGTGTATTATCTCTTTATCTTTACTCGTGTTCAAGTTCCTATTTTTTACATTTTTCAAACAGTTTTTGCAATCTAACAACTTCTTCATACATCAAAACATTCAACTAATTCAGAGGATGGGTGCAATGTTTTGTAACTTTTATATTTTTCAAACTATGTAACTTTGTTTACAATTGTTTTACCCATAGAAATACAGTAGTCCCTCGCTACTTCGCGGCTCGACTTTCGCTGTGTTTCAAAGTAAGAGTGGGCATGACACACAATTGGCTGACTGATGGATGAGCGCGGCATGGATTGCTTATTTTAAATTAATTATTTTTAAACGATTTAGCACCTGCTGCACCTTTGTGCAGCCCACAGGTGCAGGGAGAAACTCCCTCCCGCAGCCTGTCATGATCTCCGCTCTCTGCCACCCACACATTTCTGCTCCGGCTGAAGCAGCTTGGTGAAGGGTTAACACGTTGCTGTCCTGCTGCACGTCTCTTCTCTACAATTTAAATTTGAATACAGTAATATTTTAAATAAACAATCCATGCTGCATGTATTGTTCGTTTAAAATATTACAGCATTTAAATTTAAATAGTTTATTTACACAGAAGGAGGGAGATTGGGAGTGAAACTTGAACTACTGTATCCCTACTTCATTGTTTTTCATTTACAGCGGGGGGCGTGGTCCCCTAAACCCACTGATGAATGAGGGATTTTCTACATACTCGCTCTATTTTTGTTTTCTTATACTTTATGTCAAGGTTCATGCTCAATAATTCAGGTAAAAATCCAGCAATGTTCCATCAGGTCAGCTGGACGATTTCTTTATTTTTTTAGCAAAAAAAAAAAAAACACGTCCAGCTGACCTGATGGAACATCGTCTTATACTTTATACTTTTTGTTGTATACTACTTTTAGCTAGCCTTTTGCAATGGTTGAATAACCATTTGATAATTTTAGTTTTAATAACTGAGTTTCAAATTCTACAGAAACTTTTGGCAAAGTGATTTTGAATCACATCTGTCTATAGTAGTAAAAAGACTCGGTACTGTCACCCACATTTGTCGTGCACGAGAAACAACGGTCTATCAGATGTGGAAGTCACTGAAGCCCTTATGAAACCTGAACTTTGTTACATGTACTTATCATTTTGATTAATATTAGTGCACAAAGTGTTTGATGGATGAGACTCTGATTCTGGGTTCTCACACGGCCGTCTTCATCTTTCACTTCCCTCGACATTCACAGTGCAAAAATAAAAACAAGAACAAAGCAGTTATATAGTTAAAAGTTTGAACTAGAACTAAAATTAAAGGATTATTGGATTTACGTACGTGCTGTGAATTGCTGGGATGCCCAGAGGTGGAAACAACAACTTATTGTTATTGCTCACTGAATAAAGGCACATTTCGTAAGATAATGCCGTACAATAGTTACCTCAGAGAACGCCTCCTTGGCTGCCTGCGTCTCCTCGGCTTGAGCTCTTTTCTGGGCCTCATACATGGCTGCCTGCCGGGTGAGCCTCTCCAGTTCTTTTGTTAGATGATCAATATACAAGTCCTGATGACACAGGAGGAAAAATAGCAAAAACCCAATGGTAGTTTCAACCACAAAGTACCACATAAGATACGATTTTCTGTTTTTAAAAGGTCTTCCTTCAGTTTGCTCACTTGTTGTAGTTTCTGATCTTCAGCCTGAGTTTTCTCAGCTCCTGCTCTGTGTTGAAGGTTCTTCATGGTTTTGACGTTGGACTGCAGATCTTCACTGACTCCTTGTGTAAAGCTGAGGTGCTGCAACAGTTTGTCTAATTTCCCCTGTAGCTTAGAGGCTAGGATAAAACAGAGAAGTCAACATTATACTGTAAAAGGTACAAGATGTTGTTTTAGAATCACAAATGGGAACTGACTTTGTACAATCTAAACCAAACTGTGAACTAGATTGTATAATGTTAACTGTTCTGGTATCATATTGCCTATTCCTGTGTTGTAAGGAGCCGTTACGCTATAATTTAAAAAATGTCAAATTTCATTCTACCTACCGGCATATCTCTTGAACAGACATTTAAACCTAAAATCGTGATATAATTTGATGTATTTTTCTGTTGACTGCCATTTAACATGACTTAGTTAATATTCAAAGCTTTGGGAAATAAAACAATATCAGCTGTGTTTTAAGAAAGGTTGACTTATCATCATGAGCACAACATGTGAACTAAAAAAACTGAACCCAAGTCTGAGAGAGTTTAAAGCTCTGCAGTATTTGTACAGATGAAGTGGTCTGAGACTGTAGCTTGTAGGATCCGGAACTACATAAAAACTATTTTGCGTATATTTTTTGAGTTGCCTCAAACACAAAATCATCAAGCAATAGATTATTAATCACAGATTTGTGTAAAAAATATATAAATGTAAGCTTAAAAAATACTGGATTAGCAGGAAGGCAAACACTAAATGACACATCAGACCCACCGTGAGATTCCTCCTGGCTGTTCTTCTTGCTCAGGTCAGAAAATTTGCTCTTTGTCTTCTCTACCTGATCTTGTGCCTGCCGGCGCTGGACTTCGGCCTGAACTTTGGTCTGTACAGCATCCTCCATCTTGTTTCTCATTTTGGTCAGCAGTTCATGAACCCTGAACGCCTCAATGCTCACTTCCTGTAACTGGATGTCGTCTGCCTTTTTGATGAACCGCTGGGATCACAGAAAAGAGAGCACAATGTAGATCTGCAGACATTTAGACTGCATATATCAGCATCAGATTTTTGTCATCTTCTCATACTTTTTCAGTTATTTTTTTCACAAAAAGTGTATTTTTTGTACTAATTCTACAGCAGGCAACACAAAAAAAAATACAGATTACAGCCCTCACACCAACCAAATTATCTTCTGAAGAGATTAAGTGCTATATTTGAAACTTTAAATTGTTTTGAGACAAAAGTAACTAACCTTCTCACTCAGTTCCTGCTTGATTCTTTCCAGGTTTTTCCTGAAGTGACTGTTCAGAGCATCTTGAAGCCTTTTCACCAGTGGCTGCAAACACACAACTAAGTTAATAATGCCTGCGCAGAATATTTAACAGAATAATGTACAATAATAAACTCATTCATCAATTAAATGACTGAGGCATTTTATTTGACAATATATTTTAAAAGGCACATCTTTATAGTAATGCATAAGCAAACAGACATGATCTGGGTCAAGGATGACTAACTCCTCTTCCTCCTCCCCATCGTCCTTTTCTGTCCATTCTGGATCTGTCATGACTTCTGATGTGTTTGGACCAGACAGATGAGAAGTTGGTGAAACCAAAAACAAAACAAGCAAACGAACAAACAAAAAACAAAAACTTAATGAATGCCGTTATACAGCAAATAATAAACTTGAGATGATGCAGTGATCTCAAACCTGAAAATACAGAAGGAAAACTTTTGTGTCCCCACTGAAGAATGATTAAGTCAAACAAGGCATTGTAATTTGATCTTATAAAATTAAACATCTTCTGTTCAAGCTTAATTAAAGCAACTACAATCTGTTTTTTTGTGTGTGTGTGTGCTTGTTTTTGTGTCACATTTGGCTATTTTGTTGCCTCCGTGATGATAAATAACACTGTATTAATATGTAATTTGTGTATAGCCGTTTAGTGTTGACAGAGTGTTTGACTAGATGTAGTGGGTTATTCACCGGCCATACTGAGGTCGGGGTCAGGCTCGGGGTCAAGGTCATCAGGCTGTGGCACTAATGAATCCTGTGGATTATAACAGAGAGAATATTTACACATCTTTAAGAAGTTATGAGTTTCATATAATGTATTGGACTATTTAAAAATCCACATTTCCTAATTTATATGAGTGACACATTATGCATTAATCTTAAGCTCCTGTTGATGTTTTGTACATCCCAGCAAGAGGGTGAATGTCCAACATGACTTCATAAGCCGATAAAAAGTGCATAAATCCAATAACGGAGATAAACGCAGTGTTTCTGTGGACGTCGGACCTGTGCAGAAAGTGGGCTACTCGTTCCAATGGCCTCTTCTCTTCCAACCCGAGTGCTGACGTCTTCATCATGTAGCTTCTCTTCCTTTTCCTCACCTGATGAGCTCTGCATTGTACCTGTCATCAGATTAGGTGCATGAAAACAGCTGTGCTAGCATATTTTACACGATATATTGTTGCTTTTT